GTGCCGCCCGCGGGGCGGGGCCTGCCTCGGTTTCCCCAGCGCGGAAGCGAGGCCTTGGACCGCGGGTCCGCCCCCCGCGGGCTGGTCGTGCCGCCCCTTTTCAGTTCCCCTGCGCTCAGACGGCATCGGGAGCTTCCGGCCGCTCGGCGCCTGAGGACCTGGCCCCCACACTGGCCCAAAGCACCTCGTGGATGGTCGCCCGCCGGGGCCCAGTGGCAGCGACTATCCCCGCCTGCCGGAGCAGGACATCTAGACGCAGCCCGGGGGATGGGAGGTTCGAGGGGGGCGATGCTGGGGGATCTTGAGCCATGCACCCCTCCAGCACCGCACCATCCCCGCCAGTCTGCCAGGCCCAGCGACGTCCAGCGAGAGGACTAGTGAGATAGAGGCAAGGGAGTTCAGGAAGCAGCCAGGAAGCTGAATGCCCCTTCTTGTATGGCTGCCCTCACAGCAGGGGCCAGCCCGGGAAGAGAGGGCTGGTACTGGGCACATCTGCTCCAGAGAAGGGACTGGTCGCAGACATCCCAGGGCACACCTTTCTGCAGCAGGTACCCGCCAGGACCTCCTGAACACCTCTGCAGAGGTCACTGACTTCACTTAACCAAGGGCACACAGCCTAGACCCTCTATCGCCCACCTGCTGGTTTCTGAGACACCAGCGCAGGTGCACACCTCCCGTCTCAGCAAACACGAGTAGCTAAGAGAACCTTGAGCCTGAGGAGTCTGGGTAATGGAGGTCAGGGCCAGGACTGGGGGCATTTCCAGAGAGTCAGTACCACACCCCTTCCCCAGAGCACGCAGCTGGGCCGGGCCCTAGAGACACTAACCGAAGTGTAAATCCCTGAGCCGGCAGAAAATTAAAGACATGTGTCAGGAGCTCTACACTGCATGGGGGCAGCAGGAGAGTGTCCCAGCCCTGACCTTTTCCACGCTGCACACACCTTGCCACCTCCACATGGAGCTCCCAGCATGCAGGGGCCTGCCCAGGAGTGTGGGTCTACCCTGACGACCTAGACCTTCCGCCTCAGTTTCCCATCTGGTCTGGCACCTAATGCCGGTGAAGGGTTTGCAGCAGCTAGGTGTGGCCACAGGTGGACTGTGGATGAAACGGCAGCTGGGGAGGTGGCACTGATCCATGTGCAGCAGAGGATCGTGGTCTGGGGGGAGGGGCGGGGGCCCTCTGGGCACCTGGACCAGAGTGTCCCAGAAAGCCACTCTGGCTCTCCTGTGTGCCGGGGAGACAGCACCACTGTGGATCTTGCTGACACCAGGACACTGGGGTGGCACGCACACTTCAGTGCTCCCCATCTAGCGAGGCTGGCACCCCCAAAGAAAGGCCTGCCAACCTGCTTCTGCAAAGCCACAGGTGGGAACTTTCCCCGGGGAGTGGAGCTCTGCCCTGCACCTGAGGCAGCACCTGGTCCGAGTTGACTGGGTGCTGTGTCTGAGAAGCAGCACCACTTCTGAGCTCACAGAGGTCACCACTTAGAGGACGAACCGGGGCCAGCAGGCAGGTGAGCTGGTGCAAACATAAAAAGGTCATGACCTCAGGTGCTCCAGCCGGTAGATGAACTGGGCGGCGCCAGTAGTTTGCGAAACAAGGGCACCTCGCCCACCCCTCCCCGCCCTCAGCATCAGGTGTTGGCAGGGGGCGTCCTGGGGAGGCCTCCCTGCAGTGGGTTGTGCAGGGCCTTCTGCGCAAGGCCTGGTAGGGAGTACAAGTGACCCAAGGCTGTTGGGCGTCAGGGCCACCCTGGGCTTTGAGACGGGTGCCCATGGGTGCGGCTACGCGGGCAGGCGGGCATCATTGGGGAGACACCGGAGCACTGGTGAGCTGCGTGCCCTCGTGTGGATGTGTCCCATGGCAGTACTTAAAGTCACAGGCGGCCAGTCCCACTTAAGACCCCTCTGGGACCAGGACCGAGGAGAAGGGCCCCACTGGACTTCCAGGGCTGTCCTCTGGGGAAGCCGCCCACCCTGTCTTTCTGTCGTGGAGCTGCTGGTGGATTAGAACCACCGACTTGTCGATGGGCAGCGGAGTGCGGAGCCACCAGGGCCCCACAGATGGAGAGACGAGGGATGACAACTGATTGGGCTGCAATGTTCCCTGTGCCATGGCAAAGGGTCCCCTTGATACATAGCAGGAAATAAAGCGTGCCCCGCCCCCAAGTGCCACCTGACAGTCATGATTGCCCAGGCCCCACCTGGTGTGGGGGCTGCCCCTTCAGTGGAGAGAAGTCGGGGCCACACCATCACTGGAGACCAGGGCAGCTGGTCTGACCCCGACTGCTCAGGCTGCAACAGCGCGGTGTCCGCTGTAGAGACCAGGGCTGGAGAGGCAGTCTCCTCTCCGTAATGCACTGTATTCTCTACTCCACACACAGGCTGCAGGCTGCATCTGGGAGTTTCCATGGCGACCCAGAGGCCTGCCCAGGAGCCCCCTCGGATGCACCGTGGAGGCCTGGGTGGACTTGGACCTGATGGCTCGTGAGCAGCCGGGAAGAGCCATGGCTGAGAGTCATGGAGAAACAGGCGCTGGTGCAGGCCTCCCTGAAGGCCCTCCTTACCTGGAGATACTCCACAAGCGCACCCCTCTCTGGGCCCCCGCCGTCCTTCCCTCTGAGCTGAGGCCTCGGCCAGGCTCCCCGAGCTAACACCATAATCCCCTCCTGCCATCGCAGCTCCAGGAGCAGCCGCCTGCATCAGGAGCCAGCAGGACACCCACTCGGTGTCCACGCCACTCCGGGGAGCCATGCACTGCAGTGGCCACACCCGGGGTGGCGGATGGGGCATGCCTTAGGAGAAACGCCAAGCGCTCTGCCTCCACCAGGCTGCTTCAAGCATTTCCCACAAGCCCAGTGGC